TGCGCCGGCCCCCGCCCCCAGGACAAACCCCTGCAGTGATTTGGAGAGTAACTCTGTGCCATCAGTTGCCCGAGAAAATGAGTAGACGCACAAACACCGATGTTTGTGCGTGCATAGGGTCTTTCTGGAAGCTGCGCTTCTCAACCAGGGCGATTTTGTTCCCCCAGATGTGTCAGTGTCTGCAGACATTTTTGGGTGCCTCATTGGGGTGTGTTTGTGTGCATGTTACTGAGCATCTAGTGGTTAGAGGCCAGAGATGCTCGTGAACATCCTACAATGAACAGGACAGCACGCACAAAAAATTATCCAGGCCAAAATGTCAGTAAGTGTGGGGTTGAGAAACCTGCTCTTGAAGGCTACCTAAACTTTGAACAAAGGTTGCCTTTGAAAAGGAGGACCCAGGTAATGGATAGGAAGGAATCTTGCCTTTTCTTTGTATACTGTTTGCACTATTTAATTTTTGTAACCGTGCAAAAAAATTAACTCAGAAAAAAAGGAGGAAGAGGAGGAAGAATCTCTTGGGCACTTTAATTAGGATAGAGTTTATCTTTTTGTGGGGCATGGATCCCTTGGAGAATCTGGAGGAAGCTGGGGACCCTCTGTCCGTTAAAAATAACCACCTTCAAAAAGTTGGGAAAATCAAGAACAGCTGAAATGCATCCGTGGCTCACAGGTTAAGCGGACAAGGCACCAGGTTCTAATGGTTTGATTTAAATTAGGCCCAAAGGAAGTTCCTACAGCTTTCCAGTTGGGAACCCACTTTTTTTTTTTCTGTTTTTTTTTTTTTTTTTTTTTGAGACTGAGTCTTGCTCTGTCGCCCAGGCTGGAGTGCAGTGGCGCGATCTCGGCTTACTGCAAGCTCCGTCTCCCAGGTTCACCCCATTCTCCTGCCTCAGCCTCCCCAGTAGCTGGGACTACAGGCGCCCGCCACCACTCCCGGCTAATTTCTTTTTGTATTTTTAGTAGAGACGGGGTTTCACTGTGTTAGCCAGGATGGTCTCGATCACTTGACCTCGTGATCCGCCTGCCTCGGCTTCCCAAAGTGCTGGGATTACAGGCATGAGCCACCGCGCCTGGCCGAGAATAATTCTTTAAGTGGCAAACTGTTTCAAGAAATAACGGCTTATTTCATGTAATGTGTAGTTTACTCAAATAGTATTAATAGCTCCTATTTGAGTTTTTACCAAGTGTTTAGTCCTGTGCTCTGCCCTAATTCGAATGTAACAATCCTGTGAGGTAGATTTTAACTCTTCTTTTACAAATGAAGAAACTCAGAGATTCTCTGTAACTTGCCCAGCGTTACCCCAGCTGATAGATTCTGGGGATTGAATTTGGATCCAGGTCTTTTCAATTCCAAGTTTCACCACGTGCACTTGAGTTTGCGTAAGAATCCCTTCAGGCTTTGTTATAATAAAGTTCTGGACCCTCCCCAGACCTGCTAATTCCCTCACCAGGGAAGGGGTCCTGAAATCGGATGACTGGCATGATCAGGCAAGTTTCAGACATTATACTCTACTGTACAGCCTCCTTTGCTTTAAGGTCCTGATTCTCAAGGCTTTCCATTTGTAACACCTTAGAGGTATAGGCATTGATGCCAAAAATAGTAAAGAAGTAAATCAAGTACAGTTGACCTTTGAACAACAGGGGGGTTAGGGAAACTGACCTCCTTGCAGTAAAAAATCTGCATGTAACTTTTGACTCTCCCAGAACTTAACTACTGTTGACCAGAAGCCTTAGAGATAACAGTCAGATAACGCATATTTTGTATTTTATGTGTGTTACATACTGTAGCCTTACAATAAAGTAAGCTTGAGGAGAAAGTGTCATTAATAAAATTATAAGAGAAAATGTATGTATTCATTAAGTGGAAGTGGCTCATCACAAAGGCCGTCATTCTCATTGCCTTCACGCTGGGTAGGCTGCTGCTGCTGCTGCTGCTGCTGCGATGGTGGGATTGGTCTTGCTGTCTCGGTGGCAGAGGTGCAAGGAGAGGCAGGCACATTCGATGCAACGTTTATGGAAAACACCTGCATACAAGTGGACCCAAGCAGTTCAAACCCATGTTATTCAAGGGTTTGTTGTATTCTAAAAATAGACGGGACCTGCATGCTGGAGGATCTGGAGGGCACATCCGAATCTGTTTCATGTTGTTGGAAAAGGCCTTCCCTGTCTTCCTGGAATTCACGTCCCTGGTCTCTTCTGATCCCTTCAGAATCACCACATTAGGTACTACTAGGTTCTCTATGAGGAGCTACAACCTTTGGGGCACCTCTAATTTTAAAGGTGCCCTTTAGTACCTATCTTGTGAAGAGGTCATGAAATAGGCGTGGAACTTAGCACCAAACCTGGAGTACCGTAAGGGCCCAATAAATGTAAGCTGGTGCCATTTTCATCAGTACTGAGTTTGCTATGCTATTTTACTTCCTCTTTGCTGAAACTTATCACCGATGAGCCCTTAACTTCCGCCTCTTGTGAATCCCTGGAGGGCAGATCTGTTGCCTTACTATTCTACCTCCACCTGCCGTACTAGTACAGTAGGGGCCCTATCTACATTTGTTGAGTTGAAATAATGTGGGCAAAATCACTGCTTATGACAGCAACTTTATAAAGGCTCTATTGTTGTTAGAACCCTTGAACATTCAAAGCATCCTTCCAGGTTAAGATATGGAGTTTTAAGTCTGCTGAAAGTTTTAATACTGCTGGCCAATATTTAGCACTCACTATGTCAATATTTAACCTGTCAGATCCTGCATCTGTGTTGCCAACAAGATAGATTTAATGGCTTAACCTTCTTCTGTTTTTAAGTTAAACACAAATAAGGAAGCTCCCTAATGTGAACACTTTTCTTCTGGCTAACATTCTGTGAGACAGCAAACCAAACCAAATGTGTACTCATGAATTGACTTACCTGGAATAACTTCCTTTCCTCTTTCCTGTTCTTTGCCTACCTTTTAAAGCTCAGCTTGAGTTCTGTCTCCTGTGTTAATTCTTCCCTGATTTCTCCAATCCAAATTTCTCCCTTTCCCCCAACTAAAAAGTTCTTATCCTCAGTGCCGTTCATTTTTTCATGTTATTCACGAATTAGCAGGCCTCTACTTACGAACCTTTTGAAATGATGCCTGTGTATACTAGAACAACTTGTGACTTACATCTGGTCCTTGTTGGAAGGGTCTGCTGCTTGAAGCAGCTCGGGTTTCATTCATTAATCCCATAAATATTTATTAAGTGTCTTCTTAGGACCAGCCACTGTTCCAGGCACTGAGAATATGGCATCGAACAAGAAGGAAAAAAACCTGTGCCCTTGTATAACTTACATGCTGGAGAAGAGGGAGTTAGACAATGGACAAATAATTGTCAGTAATAAATGTTCTGGAGAAAAAATAAGCAGACGGATAGAGTGTATCTGCCAGGGGAGGGGCTGTACTTTTAAATAGTGCTGTCCAACAGGGTCTTTCTGGGAAGGTCACGTTTCATGGAGAACCTACAGGAGGGGAGGACTGAACATACAGAGATCTGGGGGAGGGGATTCTAGGCCAAGACGGGCAAGTGCAAAGGTTCTATGGTGGCTGGGACCCACACTTAGTTGAATGCTCTGTTGCCTTGATCATTTTCAATGATCTTAATCATTTTTGACCAACGGGCCCCACAAATTCTATAGCCAGTCCTGATGGTGGGAATGTGCCTGCAGTGTTTGAGCCCCCTGTATGTGAACATCTTTACTCTTTTCACAAAACCACACCCACTGTGGTACCCCTCTGGGACCTGAAACTTCTCCTCTTCCTGTCTTCTCTCCTTGTCATGTCCTAAAGCTCAGATCCCCGTTTGGATTAAAAGGGGGCTCAAAGCAGAGGCCCAGCCCATTTTGCTTCACACCACCCTCCTTCACCACCACAGCCAGCCTCCTGGGATTTCCCCCAGCACTTGCCCTTCTTTAGGTTAGCGTCTTCTACCTTCTTTCCTTGCTGGAGTCCCCAGGGGAGTGAGAATGTGTCTTGAAGCTGGAAAGCCTATTCTCATAAAAAAAGGATAAATCAAATTCCGTGGACATTTATTGTGCATCTACTGTGTGCAAGGCACTGAGCTAGTTAGATTCTGTAGTATTACAGTTCACTTATATCACCCGCACATACGATCAACAACTATTTATTGAATCCCTTTTGCTCTTCCTCATAGCTAGGCACGGGGATTAGGTTAAACGTTAAGAGATAAATTGTTTTTTTGTGGACTGCTTGGGAGCTTAGCCGCTCTTTATAGCATAGTTTGGAGAAATGATTTCCAACTTCTATAGAGTTGGCTTACTAATGAACTTTGGAGTGCCTTAGGGGACGATCTATATTGCCTGTTGTAGTCTCCTGTATTTATTTCATTTTACATGACAATGACTTACCTCTATAAAAGATTTTAGCCCTTTGAGTGTAGACTATTTCTTATATACTTGCTAACAGCACCTCGCTCACCCTAGCACCTGGTGTGGCCCTGAATTTAGATAGTATTTTGAACATAAGTTACCTTACTTGAAAAATGTGGGCCGGGCGTGGCGGTTCAAGCCTGTAATCCCAACACTTTGGGAGGCTGAGATGGGCGGATCACGAGGTCAGGAGATCGAGACCATCCTGGCTAACACGGTGAAACCCTGTCTCTACTGAAAAATACAAAAAAAAGACAAAACAAAAAACTAGCGGGGCGAGGTGGCGGGCGCCTGTAGTACCAGCTACTCAGGAGGCTGAGGCAGGGGAATGGCATAAACCCGGGTGGCGGAGCTTGCAGTGAGTTGAGATCCAGCCACTGCACTCCAGCCTGGGCGACAGAGCGAGACTCCATCTCAAAAAAAAAAAAAAATGTGTTGCTTTTCTGCATCTGTGAAAATATCATGTGCTCACTGTAGAAATATTTAGGAAATTAAGAAGAATAGAACAAAATAAAAATCTTTACTGATATCATTGCTTAGAGGCTACCATTGTTAACATTTTGGTGTATTTCTGACATTCTTTTTTTTTTTTTTTTTTTTGGAGACAGGATTTCTCTCTTTTGCCTAGGCTGGAGTGCAGTGGTGTGATCATGGCTCGGTAGCCTTGACCTCCCAAACTCAAGCCATCCTCCCACCTCAGCCTCCTAAGTAGCTGGGACTACAGGTGCACGCCACCACACCTGGCTAATTTATTTCTATTTTTTCTAGAGACGATGTCTCACTATGTTACCTGGGCTGGTCTTGAACTCCTGGCCCCTAATGAGCTGTCCATCTCAGTCACCCAGTATTGGGATTACAGATGTGAGCCACTGTGCCTGGTCTATTTCTGACTTTTTTTCTTTTTGTATATAAGAATATATATTTTGAGACAAATTGTGGATTATACATGGATGCTTGTTTATCTTGACTGCCTTTCAGACCTTCCCCTCCCCGCCGCCCCCACCAGCCAACCAGCTTTTTCCGTCTCAAAGAAGACACAGGTGAAACTGAAACTCATCTGTTTCTTCTGATTGAGATTGTGTGGGTCTACTCCGCTCAGCTTTTGCAGTATGTGGAAAGTTGAGATAAACGCCTGTAGAAAACAGTCTCCTTTCAGTCATAGATTTAGTAAAAATGTTATTACAAATCTCTTCTTTGAACTCAAGGTGCTTTTCTCAGTTTCTTAAACCACCACCCAGAGATATCTTTCATGTTCTTTTTGCCCTGGAGATGTACATTGAGAACAAAAACCTTAAGTCAGTTTCTTCACTTTTTAACTGCTTTGGCTTTTAGTAATTATCCCTTCTTCTATTAAACAAGAGAAGACAGATTAAATTTCTAACAGTAAGGCACAAAACCAATCCATTTACAGAATTAGTCTTACATTAGCACATAGGAATACAAATCAGCCTCCCTGGGGATGGATCTCTTTGCAATTTCTCTCAGTGTTTTTGGAGTAAGTCCAGTAGACTTTGGGAAAATCTAGTATTCACTGACTTTAAATTAACCAAGTAATATGACCCATTTGTGTGTGTGTGAGTGTGTGTGTGTGTGTGTGTTCCTTGACTAGGAGAGAGGGGATGGATAGATTTTTATATCTGCCTATGATGTAGGGTTGTGTTCTCAACTTTTAGTGTGCATGACGATCACCTGAGAAAGAGATGCTTAAGCTGGGTACGGTGATTCACGCCTGTAATCCCAGCACTCTGGGAGGCCAAGGCAGGTGGAGGCTGAGAGTTCAAGACCAGCCTGGCCAACATGACAAAACCCTGTTTCTACTAAAAAATACAAAAATTAGCTAGGTGTGATGATGTGTGCCTGTAATCTCAGCTACTTGGGAGGCTGAGGCATGAGAATCACTTGAACCTGGGAGGCAGAGGTTTCATTGAGCCAGGATCGTGCCACTGCACTCCAGACTGGGCGACAGAGCAAGACTCCATCTCAAAAGAAAAATCGGTGCTTGAGCCCTAAATCTGGAAATTCGGGGCAGTAGGTCTGGGTAGGGCCCTTGGCATTTTTTTTTTTTTTTTAGTTCCACAGGTGATTTTGATGTGTAATACAGGACAAAAGTCCCCAATAGTGGTAGAGAGTCGATATCTGGGACATTGTCAAATAATTAAAAAACAAGGTTGTATGTTATCAGACAGGTTCTTTTCCTGAACATTGAAGGAATACTAATATTTTGAATTTATTGGTCTCCTATAGAATAAATTTGGCCATTCTCAGGAATTGCTGGGAGCTATTCAACTACTGCAAAATTATTTTCTCCAGATATTGTAGCCATGTTGATATTTGTATAGTTTGACCAGATTTCCCTATTTTAATATTTCCAATGTCTTTAATTCCTTTTCCTTCCTTCTTCTTTGTTTCTGAAATGCCAAGTTGTCCATTTTCATGTTTTTAATTCAGTGTAGAGTTGGGTTAATATGGCCCATAACTTTTTGGATGGCTATGTGCTTTGCAGTAGTCTAGGTGGAAGACTGATAGCATCTTTTATTTTTTTAATTTTTAATTGACACATTATAATTGTACATATTTATGGGGCACAGTGTGATACATGTATACAATGTATATTGACCAAATCAGGGTAATTAACATATCCATCACCTAAAACATTTATTATTTGCATTGTAAACATTCAAAATCTGCTCTTCTAGCTATTTGAAAATATACAATAAATTGTTGTGAATTATAGTCAACCTGTAGTGCTACAGAGAACCAGAACTCTCCTCCTGTCTAGCTGCACTTTTATATCCGTTAACCAACCTCTGGCTGATAGTATCTTTCAGATGACAAGGTATTTCTCTGCACACTAGTAGCAAGTAGTGTTTTTGACCTACATTTATGAACTGTGGGAAGTAACCAATCAGAGTGCCTAAGACATTCTGCCGCCGCGACAGTAGTAGGATTTACGTGGTTACTAGACCACAGCTTTTGTTGTCCAGGATGTGGCTTCACATCCTTGTCACATCATGCACACTTATAAAAGAGGTGTGTTTTCAACCACAGGGCCAGATATGCTCACAACTCTGTCTCTTGTAAGGTGTTTCCCAAATGATATTTCCAATAATAACGAACTGAAGTTGATGAATCAGTTACTAAACCTTGAATTTACTCTGGTTTGTTGGTTGGCTGGTGGAGTGATGTCAGTCATTTATCTGCATTCTGGTATCCTCCTCAAGGAGGGGAGAGGAAGTAGCTTACCTAGATTAATGTCTCTGGAGGTGTGCGTAAGAACCCTTGGGAATATGTTGAACACAGGACTATCATGGGTCGTGTCTATCGCTTTGGTAAAAAAAAAAAAAAAAGATTGAACTTTTCAAAAAATAGTTTCTGAAATGGAGATTTGCATGTAGGTGCTTTAGTGGATTTTCCTTTCGGAGAGATCCTGAACTGAGCAAGGGGGCCAGGCCTTTGTACCCAGCCATGGACTAGTCATTGGATACAGGCTGCCTTAGCGGAGATGGGAGGGGATGCAACTTGGGTGAGGCAGCTTGTTTGACCAGTGCCTGTGAAGGGACTCAGCTGTCAGTCAACAGCAGGCAACATTTTCATCTAGGGGAATGAGTGGGACCGAAGCGGGATCTGAGTGACCCACTGCAGTATGGATGATAGGGACCATTAATAGAATGTCATGCCAGAATTATTCTTTAAGTGTGCAGCATGAAACTTGAGCATTTGGTCTCCTCACCTTGCGGGGGGGGTCTACATATTTCTTGAGATGTGGACCTTCCTTTAGTGTATTGCTTTCTTTTTTTTCCCTACCATTTTCCAGTGGTTAGCCACACGGAAGGTCATCTACATGAAAGTCTGGAACTTTTATCTCTTTTGGAGTTTAGATAATAATTCTGAGAGCACAGTGATTTTTTTTAAGTTTGGCTGTGTAACATCATTTACAAAATTACAGTTCAATGCTTTGAAACAGTGGTTGCCCTTCGGAACTTGTAAATGATCAAGAACCATCATAATGCATGCATTAACAGTGAGACCAGCATGGGGTCTCATTTTTATTCTTAATAGCATACCTGTTTCATAGAGTGCTTTTACCTATTTTACAGATGAGAAAGCACAGATGCATTTAACCCGGTTGCTTGTTGGTAAGGTGAGCGAACACATGTATCAGTTTGAATCTCTGCTCTGAACCTCCATGCTGGGTTGCATTCCAGAGATTATGCTGGTTGGAATCAAGGATGCTGGTGGCAGGGCTAGGATGATGCCAAGATACAGGCATTATCTTCCGTGATGAGGATAGAGGCTAGGCTAACGGAGTAGGCAAAAGATGGAAGGCTCCTGTTACCAGAGGTGTGACTTTTCTGTACCAGAATAGCTAAAAACAAAGGTAATGGTGTCCTTTGTCTCGTCAGAGTAGTGTCAAGTCCAGAAACCAGTTCCTACTGAGTCTTAAATGGGACCAATTGAAGAAAGCGATGCCTGGCAAGTCTCTAACAGTGAAAGGCTAAATGAGACTTCAGTTTCAATGAACGCAGGCTTTTCCTTGCCTTTGTTCGGGTTGTAGGAGGATAAGGAACATTTTTCTCTTGTTTCTTTACCAAGTAGGTAAAGAAGGCCTCTCCACAAGGTCAAAATAATCCAAAAAAGAAAGCAGGAGGAAGACCATGATTACAAATGAAAGTTTCATCTCGAGTGTAGCTTTCCTTGGCAAGCAGTGACTCCCTCCAGTGTTGATTTGAGGAGTCTCAAGTTGTATCTGGGCCGAGAGAGAAAGTGATGCCTCCTTTTCTTGATGAGTAAAGCCAGTTAGTTGTGGGAGGGGACGGAGCCTGACATTAAACCAATGACTTTCCATTATTTTTTTAGGCAAGCACCCCTGAGCCTTCTAATTACACTTGCAGATTTGTTTTCCCTTTTTTTTTTTTCTTTTCTGTATGGCCAAAATTTCTCTCTTGATTTAACATTCTGTTCCTTCTCTTTGCCCACAGAGAGCTGTCAACTCTTACTCTTTTTTTCCTCCAGAGATCCCTTTTGGCCTTCATCCTTTGCGCTATTTTTGCAGTTAAATACTGCATTTCCTCTTTATGCTCTGGGCTGTCTTTTAGCCCCGAGATTCCTAGATGAACAGAAACTTCATTCCAGAAAAATCTTTACCCTAAGTCTTGGTAGGGTCTAAATCAGTGCTTAGACTCCCTTAAAAAAAACTCAGGTGATTTTTTGTTTGTTTGCTTTGAGACAGCAGCCTTGCAATATGTAAGACCTCTGCATTTGACTGGTGAATTAACAATTCACTTGTAAGCAGTAAGTCACTGATGTCAGCCAAAGCTTATTAAAAATGGATTTTATTAAGCGAATGCTATTGGGACACAGAGTGCAGCTTTTCCTAGCTTTGCAGAAGCCCATACCAAAGTGAGCTTTGGCAGGTGGATTGGGAACAGGCAGAGGGGTACATACGTACGCTTGGCTTTTTTTCTGTTTTACACTCATATTGCTTTGTGCTACCAGGATCGTCATGACAGCCTTATCTCTCAAATAAAGCCCGTTACCTCATCTCTAATTGCTTATCCAAAGGCAGTCGAGCTCTGATTTCTTTGCATTAATAAATGACACCGAAGAAGAACTGCTTTGTTTGCACTGGCCCGCTCAGGTTAACCAATGTAAGCCCCTGAGAGCATTAGGAAACCTTGCACTTCTCCAGTGGCCAAGGAGAGGTGGCGTTCACCTCCATCAAGAGCAGTGTCTGCTTGTTTACTTTTTGCTCATGTTTATAGCCCTATTCTTTTCCCAGTGAAAACCCCTTAGTGACCTAAAGCAGCTTTTCTCTAGCTGTGTGTGCTCACTCCCTTCCTAGTTGGGAGGAGTGGTTGTCCTGGGAGGAGGGGTGGCCTCCCTGATTTCAAGGCTCACTTTCTTGGCCGCCTGCTGCTCACCTTTCCTTAGAGGTCAGGAGGCTTTCCACAGACCTTGGCACTGATTCCTGTGCCATACACCAGGCTGGAAGATAGCACCCCTGCTGCTTTGTGAAGCACCATGGGAAATGGTCACATGGGTTTCCTAAGTGAATATGAGGAGTGGAGGCGTAGAGGGCTCAGAGAATGGAGGATGGCTGGCCGGTTCTGAAATAGTTCCATGACTGCCTCGTGAAACAGTACGGATGCCTCCCTCCTGGGAAATAGCCTCATCTATCTTATTACCACCTAAGAATATCTCTGGTCATTTAAAGGGCCTGTAAATTTGAGTTATTACCATATCTAAGAATTGTAAACTTACTTCCTTTTTTTTTTTCCCTCAGAATGAAATGAATGATGTGCCTTTCTTTGATATCCAACTGCCTTATGAATTGGCAATCAATATATTTCAGTATCTGGACAGGAAAGAACTAGGAAGATGTGCGCAGGTAAGCTGTCGCCAACAGATGTTCAAGATTTTCCTAAATGTGTGATTAAAGTATAGGACTCTCCTAGGTAATAGAAATTTACTCACAGAATTATAAACTTTGCAGAATTAATGACTTGGATGGCAAGTTTACTTGAAGGAAAGCCACCTTGACCTTAAAGGATTATGTTCCACATCACCACTCGGTGTGTGTCTTTCTGTGGCCCAAGAGCGCTTTTCTCCCTGAGTCTGAGTTATGGCTGACCTGTGGCAGTGTGCTGGTGGCCGACAACTTGGTGCTCAGCCTTTATTGAGCTTGTCTGTGCTATTAATGTACCCACAGTTTTTAATGCAAAGATGTGAGCCCTTGGTTAAATTGAGCCAGTTGTTAGGTTGGTAGCTGAGGGGTCAGCCCGGGGACAGAACATGTTTTAGGTGAAGTCATGTCTTAGGTGTATAGTCCAAAGTACCCTTTAAACGTTAGTAACTCACTCAGTGAGGTGCAAGGCGGGTGAGAACTGAGACCCACCAAGGGAATTGCAAATCAGTGTCACCCGTCTCACGCTTACTCTGGGGCGTATGCCTGTGGAGTGGAATGGTGGGAGATATCGTTTAGGCCAAACTGCATTGTGTTTAGGAATCATGGGGGAATCTTGATAAAATGCAGATTCAGATTCAGGAGATCTGGTGGTGGGGCCTGATAGTCTACTTTCTTTTTTTTTTTTGAGACAGAGTTTTGCTCTATTGCCCAGGCTGGAGTGCAGTGGGACGATCTTGGCTCCCTGCAACCTCTGCCTCCCGGGCCTAAGCAGTTTTCCTGCCTCAGCCTTCCGAGTAGCTGGGACTACAGGCACGTGCTGCCATGCCCAGCTGATTTTTGTATTTTTAGTAGAGATGGGGTTTCACTGGCCAGGCTGATTTCAAACTCCTGATCTCAGGTGATCTGCTGCCTTGGCCTCTCAAAGTGCTGGGATTATAGGCAGGAACCACTGCCGGCCCCATTGAGTCTACTTTCTAAGCAGGGGATGCCAGTGTGGCTTTGGCCACACTTTGAAAGAGGCAAAGGTTTATGCCATTAAAATTGTTCTCTTGTTCTCGTCTTTTTGGCCAAGAGTGTGTGATTGATTTTTCTTTTCTTTTTTTGAGGCAGAGTCTTGCTCTGTCACCCAGGCTGGAGTGCAGTGGCATGATCTTGTCTTCCTGCAACCTCTGCCTCCTGGGTTCAAGCTATTCTCTTGCCTCAGCCACCCGAGTCGCTGGGATTACAGGTGCATGCCACCACACGCAGCTAATTTTGTATTTTTAGTAGAGTCAGGATTTTTGTCATATTAGCCAGGCTGGTCTCAAACTCCTGACCCCAAGTAATCCACCCACCTCAGCCTCCCAAAGTGCTGGGATTATAGGCATGAGCCACTGCGCCTGGCCTGATTTTTCTTTTTTAAAAATTTTGTTTTATTTTTTTAAATGGACAAATAAAGTTATATATATTTATCAGGTATAACATGATTTTTGAAATATCTATGCATTGTGGAATGGCTCAGTTGAGGTAACTAACATGTATTACCTCACATACTTATTTTCTGTGGTGAGAACACTTAAAATCTATTCTCTTAGTGATTTTCAAGTATACATCATTAACTAAAGTCACTATACTGTACAGTAGAGCTCTGAACTTATTTCTCCCATCTAACTGAAATTTTGTATCCTTTGACATCTTTCCAGTGTCCCATCCTGCCCCGCCAGCCACTGGTAACCACCATTCTACTCTCTACTTCTATGAGCTTAGCTTTTTTAGATTCTGCGTTTAAGTGAGATCATGCAATATTTGTCTTTCTGTGGCTGGCTTATTTCACTTAACATAATGCCCTCTAGGTTCACCTACCATGTTGTTGTAAATGACATGATTTCCTTCTTTTTTTTTTTTTAAAGGCTGAACAGTATTCCATTGTGTATACATACACATTATCTGTCATTTATCTGTTGATTCTGTATCTTGGCTGTTGTGAATAATGCTGCAGTGAGTCTGGGAGTACAGAGATCACTTTGACATACTGATTTCACTTCTTTGGATGTATACCCAGCAACCAGAATTGCTGAATCATATGGTAGTTTTATTTTTAATATTCTAAGGAACCTCTATTTCCTTAATGGCTGTGCTAATTTCCATTCCCACTAACAGTGTGCAAGGGTTCCCTTCTCTCCATGTCTTTGCCAGCACTTGTTTTGTCTTTTTGGTAATAGCCATTCTGACAGGTGTAGTTTTAATTTGCATTTCTCTGATGATTAGTACTGTTGAGCATTTTTAAATATACCTATTGGCCGTTTGTATGTCGTCTTTTGAGAAATGTCTATTCAGGTCCTTTGTTCATTTTTTTTTTTTTTTTTTTTTGAGACGGAGTCTCGCTGTGCTCCCAGGCTGGAGTGCAGTGGGGTGATCTCGGCTCACTGCAAGCTCCGCCTCCCGGGTTCACGCCATTCTCCCGTCTCAGCCTCCCAAGTAGCTGAGACTACAGGCGTCCGCCACCACGCCCGGCTAGTTTTTTGTATTTTTAGTAGAGACGGGGTTTCACCATGTTAGCCAGGACAGTCTCGATCTCCTGACCTCGTGATCCACCCGCCTCGGCCTCCCAAAGTGCTGGGATTACAGGCTTGAGCCACCGCGCCCGGCCTGTTCATTTTTAAATTGGGTTTTTTGTCTTCTTTCTGTTGAGTTATTTGAGTTCCTTATGTAATATTTTGGATATTAACTGCTTATCAGATACATGGTTTGGATATATTTTTTCTCATTTTGTAGGTTGTCTCTGTACTCTGTTGATTGTTTCCTTTGCTGTGCAAAAGCTTTTTAGTTTGATGTAATCCCATTTGTCTGTTTTTGTTGCCTGTTCTTTTGGGGTCATATCCAAAAAATCATTACCTATAACCAGTGTCATGGAGTTTTCCCCTAAGTTTCTTTCTCATAGTTTTACAGTTTCAACTCTTATGTTTAAGATTTTAATCCATTTTGAGTTTATTTATTTATTTTTTATTGAGACAGAGTCTCACTCTATTGCCCAGGCTGGCATGCAGTGGTGCGATTGTAGCTCACGGTAGCCTCGAACTTTTGGGCTCACATGATTCTCCCACCTGAACCTCCAGAGTAGCTGGGACTATGGGCTCACGCCAACATGCCCAGCTAACTTTTAAATTTTTTGTAAGGACAGGGTCTTGCTTTGTTGCCCAGGCTAGTCTCAAACTCCTGGCTTCAAGTGAGAGTTAACTTCTTTATAATAGTGTGAGATGAGGATCTAACTTCATTCTTCTGTATGTGGATATCCAGTTTTCACAACACCATTTATTGAAGAGACTTTTTTCCCCATTGTGTGTTCTTAGTGCCTTCGTTGAAAATCAGTTGACTGTAAATGCACAGGCTTATTTTTGGACTGTCAATTCTGTTCTACTGGTCTATGTATCTGTTTTTATGCCAGTGCCATGCTGTTTATATTGCTATAGCTTTGTAGTATATTTTGAAATGAGGTATTGTGATGCCTCCAGCATTGTTCTTTTTGCTCAGGATTGCTTTGGCTATTTGCAATGTTTTGTGTTTTTATGCAAATTATATCATTGTTTTTTTCTATATCTGTGAAAAATGTCTTTGGAATTTTGATAGAGATTGCATTTCACTCACTTTGAGTAGTGTGGACATTTGGATAATCATCTTCCAATCCATGAACATGGAATATTTTTCTATTTATTTGTATCTTCTCTTTTCTCCTTAGTGTTTTATAGTTTTCAGCATATTGGTCTTTAGCTTTCTTGGTTGAATTTGTTCCTAAGTATTTATTTTTGGTGTGGCTATTGTGAATGGGATTATTTTCTTGATTTCTTTTGCAGATAGCTTGTTGTTAGTGTATACAAACTTATTGATTTTTGTATATTGATTTTGTACCCTGCAGTATCACTGAATTTGTTTATTAGTTTCTTGGTGGGGTATTTAGGGTTTCGTATGTTTATGTTTAGATTGTCTAAACAGGAACAGAATAACTTCCTCCTTTCTGCTGGGATGCCTTTTATTTCTTTCTGTTGCCTAATCGCTGTGACTGGGACTTCTAGAACTATGTCGAATGGAAGTGGTGAGAGTGTGCATCCTTGTCTTATTCCTGAAGAAAAGCTTTTAGCTTTTCACTGAGTATGATGTTAGCTTTGGTTTTGTCACATGTGACCTTTATTGTGTTAAAGTCCATTTCTTCTATACCTCATTTATTAAGAGTTTTTATCATGAAAGGATCTTGAATGTTCTCAGATGCTTTTTCTGCACCTAATTGAGATGATCACACCGTTTTTCTCCTTCATTCTGTTAATGCATTGTATTACGTTTATAGATTTCTGTTTTTTCATAAGTTAAATGAGTGTATGATTGCTAACCATTTGACCTTTGATGGACAACTGTATTCTCTAGGAGACACTGGAGTATCCATTCTCCATAACTGCCAGAAAATTAGTTTGTTTAGTGGTTAGCATTTTCATCCCTGGATTCTATAACACATTTTACACAGGTGTTTACAGCTTCAGGAGAAAGGATTTGCAAAATTCACTGGTAGGAAAACTACATAAAATTCAAAGCACCACCAAGACTATGAAGTTCAGCACATGAAGGTGGTTTGAGAGTAGTGAAAACTGTAGCCAAATTTAGACTCTAGAGCTTGCTACCTCCATGGCAGTTCAGTGAAATCACACATGATACAGGACCATTTAGACAGTTTATGGTGTTCTACTCTTTCTTTTTCTTTGATAGGGTCTCGCTGTCGCCAGGCTGGAGTGCAGTGGTGCGATCTCGGCTCACTGCAACCTCTGCCTCCCAGGTTCAAGCGATTCTTCTGCCTCAGCCTCCCAAGTAGCTGAGACTACAGGTGCGCCACCACGCCCGGCTAATTTTTGTATTTTTAGCGGAGACAGGGTTTCAGCATGTTGGCCAGGATGGTCTCCATCTCTTGACCTTGTGATCCACCTGTCTTGGCCTCCCGAAGTGCTGGGATTACAGGCGTG